CATGAGCCCAGTACAGAGCCATTTTTATGTGGAAATGTTGTTTATGATAAGATGAGATTTTACATCCCAGGGAAAAGAATGAGCTGCTCAATAAACTGTATTTAGACAACTGACTATTTGAAAGGAATAAATAAATACATACATACATACATACATATATACATACATACATGCATACACATCATTACTTCTCTGTTTATAGACCTCTGTATCAGGCTTCTTTATATTGCTACCCATTGAAGACTCAACCCAAACTTCGCTAACAAAGGGTTATTTAACTGGGTCTTCTAGAGCAGACTGTAGGATTGCTTGATTTAGTGGTTCAATACTGACATGAAAGACACAGGGGTTTTGTTTATTTGTTTTTCAATTTCTTTTTCCATCTCTTGGTTTTGACTTCTGAAATGTTAGCTTCATTCTAAGGCTAAGTAGCTGCCAAAGTTCCTAGCCTCAAATCTGTACACCAGCCTGCCCAAAAGGAGAAAAAGCACTATCTTTTTAAAGAGGAACACTATCTCCATCAAAGAAGGAGAAATATCCTTGCCCAGAATGCTTCTGCAACAACATTCTTGTCACATTGGCTCAAGCTGTCAGGTTGACCATTCCCTAACATGCAATAATTTGGCTTGTGCTTGAACAAATGATTGGCTTATCTTACTAAATCATGGAAAGCTGGACAGAAATTCCCTGTTTAGCCTTAAATAGCAGGACCCTCTCTTAGAGATAGGAGTGGTATTAATTCTTATTATGATGCCCCAAATGAAAGAAATGCCTATTGCACAAAAGAGGGAAGAAAGAAATAGCTCAATGTCCACTATGATAATATATCAAAATACCTGATGCATTAGACATCTAAATCATTAAAAATAGACAAACATGAAGTAGAGCAGAACTCCTTACACCTTAACCATGAGCTATAAATAGTGGCTTCCTTCCAAAGAATATAGTATGTAAAGCGGGGGGAAACAAGTTACTTTTCAGTAGAAAAATAGAACCTCAGCCAGGTGATCAAGGTCAACATCAAGAGTGATAAGTCATATTTGTTGTATGTATCCTTGATCTGATGTGATGTGAAGGACACTTTACCTCCGTGGTCTTTCTTCCAAAACCACAAGACCCAGTCTCATTATGAGAAAAACATCAGACAAATCCCAACTGAGAGATATTCTACAAAATGTCTGACCAGTATTCCTCAAAACTATTAAGATAATCATCAAAAACAATTAAAGTCTGAGAAAATGTCATAGGTCAGGCGAGGCTAAGGTGACATAAAGATATAAGTGTAATGAGGTATCCTAAATATGTTGGGAGTCCTATAACAGAAAAAGGATATTAAGTAAAAACTTAAGGAAATCTGTCAATTAATAATGACATCAATATCGGCTCATTAATTGTGAAAAATGTACCAAGCTAATGTAAGATGTTAATAACAAGGAGATTGGGTTCGGGGTATATGAGAACTCTATACTACTTTAACAACTTCTTTGTAAATCTAAAATTATTCTAAGACTTAAAGTTTATTTTAAAAACATTTTAAAACACATTAAAGACCTCCAAAACATATTTTAGAAGAGCACATAAGAAAATATTTTAATACTTTAATTAACAACACAAGAAATAACAGGTAGGTGTTAGCAAGGATGCAGAGAAAGGGAACTCTCTTGCACTATTGGTGAGAATACCAACTGGTGCAGCCACTCGGGAAAACAGTATAGAGTTTCCTCAAAAACTACTCTATCTACTCTGTGGCCCAGCAATTGCACTAACAGGTATTTACCCAAAGGATACAAAAACACTGATTCAAAAGTGTACGTGCTGCTTATAGCAGTATTGTCAACAATAGCCAAACTATGGAGAGACCCCAAACGTCCATCAACTGATGAATGGATAAAGAAGATGTGGTATATATTTATAGATACAATGAAATATTACTCAGCCATCAAAAATAATGAAATCTTGCCATTTACAATGACGTAGATGGAACTAGAGGGCATTATGCTAAGTGAAATAAGTCAGCCAGAGAAAGACAAATGCCACTTATTTGTGGCATTTAAGAAGGAAAACAGATGAACATATGGAAAGGGGAGAAAGAGAGAGGGAAACAAACCATAGAGACTCTTAATGATAGAGAATAAACTGAGGGGCGATAGAGGAAGATGGGTGGGGATGCCCTAGTTGGGTGATAGGTATTAAAGAGGGCACTTGTGATTAGCACTGGGTGTGGTATGTAAGTGATAAATCACCGAATTCTACTCCAGAAACTAATATTGCACTGTATGGTAACCATGTAAAATATAAATTTAAAAAAGAGAATATTTTTATAATCACAAGCTAGAAGATCTGATAAGAAAAATGCAAAACTCAGAAAGCAGAAAGATTTGCCTCTTGAAGCTTGAAGATTTGACTACATAAGAATTGAAAATATTCATAAGAAGAAAGATAATAATCCAGGTGAGTAGATACTTAATGGAATGAAACAGAAGTATCTTCATACATATTAGATGAAGAATTAATATCTAGAATACAATGATATACAAAGAAACTGATTAGGGTAAGACAATCTAAATAGACAGATGGGTAAAACATCTAAACTTATAAAATCATAGAAGAAATTCAAATAGTAAACATGAAAAGATGCTCAACCCTACCAATAATCAGGGAAATGCAGATAAAGCAACAGTAGTGTTTATAAGTCATCCATTCGGGAAAGAAAAGGGAAGGAAGAGAGAAGGAAAAGGGGAAAGGGAGGAGAGCAGTAGAGAGAGTATATGATGGACCTTGAGAGCAACTTCACTTTATTAAAAGTGTAAGATTAAAACATGCATAGGTGCTTCAAGACTTCAGGAAGCCAATGAAAGACAAGCTGAAAACTATGTTGCAAAGCCTAATACAGAATTTAGTGAAGTAGAATGAAAACAATCACTACTTTTGTTTATGGAAATATCTTGATAAGCTTCTTTGGGTGGGAAAGGTAGGACCCAAAGACTTGGTCTATAAGAGGAAATATGTAAACAAAGAGAGCTGGAATCAGATTTGGAAATGTATGCAAGTTCCAAATGCTTTTGGACTCCAGGAAAAGACTTAGTGAAGCACTAAAATAGAAACAGAATTAGATTCGACTGCCACGCCATTGAAGTGTATTCAAGAAGACACTCAATGGCATTAAGATTAGGCATATTTTAAAAACTTCTGTAGAATTTCATCTTTCCTTAAAATTTAAGGACTGGTAATTAGTAGCTAGCTAATATCAACTCTAAGTTTGTGGAGTGATTATTTTTGCAGGAAAAATACAGTTGTGGAAAAGTTTAGGTTGTAAGTTTTAGTTGTCCACAGCTGGAGGAAGCCTAGCTTTTGGCATGCAGCCATGTCCAAGTTCAACCACTCACCTGAGGGCACCAAATTCTAGGCATAGTGCCTAGAAGGAAATAAACAGCCTCATATGTTTTAATGTATAAAGCCATGGCAAGCATCAAATATATGGATAAGTTTCATTTAAATTTACTCCACAGATTTAAGAATTTAGCAAGAGAGGATGCTTCTTCAAGCTCTAAGAGGCAATGTTAATAGTACTAAAAGAGAGTGCCACTGTTTTATAACAGGAATTCACTAATCCATACAATCATATAGGTTGAAAATATAAATAGATTTAAGAAAGATTGGAGTATTGTTATCGTTATAGGTTGCTCTGGTATTATCACAGATTATGGATATATCATAAGCTTTTTTTATTTAAGGAGAAAGAGATTTCAGGCATGCTCTAAATATTTTTGATAGTGTCATAATGGAAGATAATCACTTCCCACAAAGACCCATTTTATTATTAAAGACCTTTCCATGGTCAGTACATCACCACCGTCATCATCAACACAGACTGAACACTTTCTTTATGCTAAAGGCTTTACATGAATTTTCTTATTTTTACGTGTCAGATCTTATAAGATGTAAATACTTCTGGATCCTATTACTCGTTAACACAGTAGCAGTGATCAGAAAGCAAGATTCTTGGGGAATGGAAACCAGAATATACAATCTGGGAGTTAAAGGGAAGGTAGTGCAAGAGGTGGAAAACAAACACTGATTTTCCTTCCTTCACAATTTTGTTTAGGATGAGAAGTATATGTGTGCATAAAGCCAGGATGATCCCAAGATGTTTGTTATGCTGTATTTTTCATTGGCTCCTTTTAATAAAATGCTTCAGGGATAGTCATCAGAGTACCTACCTGTTCTGTATCAACAGGTACAGAACACTGTCCTAAGTGTTATTATCAAATATATTTTACTTAGAAAGATATAATCTTCATTCAAGAAAGAGTGGGTAATAAACAGTATTAGGGTAGGTTTTTAAAAAGTACTATCAATAGGTATACATCCTTTTTTTTCTTTTTTAAAATATTTTTCTATTTATTTCTATTTTTCTATTTATATATGAGAGACACAGAGAAAGAGGCAGAGGGACAAGCAAGCTCCCTGCAGGGAGCCTGATGCAGGACTCAATCCTAGGACCCCGGGATCACTCCCTGCGCTGAAGGCAGACAATCACTGAGCCACCTAGCATCCCAATAGGCATACATCCAAAACACAATTGTTTTGAACATTTTGATTAGGCTTTAAATTAAATCTTGCCATTTTCAAGCAACATTATGCCATAAGCATTTTCCCATGTTATTCAACAGTCTTTGCGATTATCATTATAATTGCTACTCAGGCCTTTACAATAATTTACATGCTCCATTTTTAAAATTTAGGTTGTATCCTGTTTTTCACAATTATATATAATGTTACAAAGCACATTTAAAAAAAAATAACGGGGGATCCCTGGGTGGCGCAGCGGTTTAGCGCCTGCCTTTGGCCCAGGGTGCGATCCTGGAGACCCGGGATCGAATCCCACGTCGGGCTCCCGGTGCATGGAGCCTGCTTCTCCCTCTGCCTGTGTCTCTGCCTCTCTCTCTCTCTCTCTCTCTGTCTATAATAAATAAATAAATAAATAAATAAATAAATAAATAAATACGGAGCGCTTCATGAATTTGCATGTCACCGTTGCACAGGGGCCATGCTAATCTCCGTATCATTCCAACTTTAGTATATGTGCTGCCAAAGCAAGCACGATGTTACAATGTACATATTTGTATAGAATTTGTTTTATGTTTTAGAACTATTTTCTGAGATGATGTCCACAAACAAAATTAATGGGACAAGAAGCATGAGCAGTTTAAGGCTTTTGGCATATTACTGTCAAAAAACTGCTCTCAAAATATATTTGCATATACTTACTTGGAATTATAAAATTATTAAAGACTTGTTGGAGGATAATTTTATAGTATCTTGTAAAATAAAAATGCCTATATACTTTGAACAAGCAATCCCGTTTCTAAGAATCTTTCCAACAAAAATAGTTACACATATATTCAAATACAGATGTACAGGGTTCCATTATCACATTGTTTAAATTAGGAAGAAAATTGGAAATAACCTAAATGAAAAGGTCAAGTAAAGGCTATATAATGGCAGAAATAAAGCTGTTAAGAATTAACTGGTGCTACACTTACTGACATGGAAAGATCTCTTAGAGAATTAAGTGGAAGACAAAGCAGTTGATAAACAATCAGAATGACTTCATTTATAAAAAAAATAAGTAAATATGTTTGAAGATTCATTCAAAAATCAATAGGAATTAATGGTTGTATGACATTGTGAATGTATTTAATACCACTCAATTTTACATTTAAAAATGGCTAAGATGGGAGCATCTGGGTGCCTCAGTCAGTTAAGCATCTGACTCTTGATTTCGGCTCAGGTCCATGATCTCAGGGCCCTGGGATCAAGCCTTGAGTCAGGCTCCTTGCTCAGTAGGGAGTCTGCTTGTCCCCCCCCCCCCAAATAAATAAAATCTTTTTTAAAAATGGTTAAGATGGTAAATTTTATGTTATGAGCATTTTACCCCAATTTGAAAATATCAGTAGGGATTATCCACCTGTGGCTGAGACTGTTAGCTGTCCCACCAAATCCATTCTCCCCTTCTTACACAGTGATAGAATACCAAATTTAGCTAGACACATTTCCCAGCCTCAGCCTCCCTTGCAGTTAGAATTGGCTTATCTAGCCAATAAGATGTAAGCAGAAGTGCTTATGGCACTTCCCGAGAATCTTCTTCAGAAACCACTAATACAGGACACCTGGGCGCCTCAGTGGTTGGGCATCAGCCTTCGGGTCAGGGCATTAACCCCAGAGTCCTGGGACCGAGTCCCACATCGGGGTCCCTGCATGGAGCCTGGTTCTCTTCCCTCTGCCTGTGTCTCTGCCTCTCTCTGTGTGTGTCTCTCATGAATAAATAAATAAAATCTTTTTTTTTTAAAAAAAAAGCCCGTATTCTTTCCATCTCACCGCTCTGCATTTGTACTCTATTTTAATTCTGATAGGATAAATTACCCCTCATACTCAGATTATTCATCTCTGTCTTTGCTATCACAGTGTTTTCATCATTCCAAATGAACTTTAAAATCACCTTCTCATGGGCACCTGGGTGGCTCAGTTGGTTAAACATCTGTCTTTGGCTCAGGTCATGATCCCGGGTCCTGGGATCAAGCCCCATGTCAGGCTCCTCATTCAACCAAGAGTATAGTTTTCCCTCTCCTTCTGCCCCACCCCCTGCTCATGCTCCCTCTCCTTCTCCCTCTCCCTCCGTGTCTCTCTCTCCCTCTCTCTCTCTCTCTCTTTCTCTCTCTCTCTCAAATAAATGAATAAAATCACCTTTTCAAATTCCAAGAGCCAAACAAATAAGAAACCAACTGGAAATGAACCTATAAACTGACTTTGGGAAATACCAACATCTTAAAATGGCTAACTTTGCAGGGCACCTGGGTTGCTCAGTTGGTTAAGTGTCGTCCTTCACCATGCAGGTTGCGATCCCGGGGTCCTAAGATGAGCCCCACTCAGGGGGAGTTGCTTTTCCTGCCCACCTCTGCTCATGTGTGCTGTCTCTCTTGCTCTGCTCTCTCAAATAAATATATAAAGTCTAAAATAAAATAAAATGGTCAATTTTCTTAAAAGGGACATGGTGTAGCCCTGTTCATTGCTATCAATTTTATTCATGTAGGTCTACCTTGTTAACATTATTCACAATCAGCTTGGACCTCCTATATATTCAATCATTTTATCTATGACTATTAATAATATTGTCACTTTCTAAAATTTACAATTCTTATTTGTTTTCTGCCTTTTTATAAGTTAGATAAAATTTCCAGAAGAATATGATTGTATTTAACAAAAAGTACAATCATGACAGTTTAAAAGATTGTTTTAAAATCACAGTAAAGTAGTATATACCTTCTATATTGCTTAAAGACTTTTTTTACTTAAAGAAATTAGTATTTAATTATATCAGATGCCATTCAACTATCACTAAGTGATCATTAAGTGATCATTTTCCTTATTATCCTTAACATATCCTAATAACTTTCCAAATTTTGAAACACTTAGATTCCTAGGTGAATACTATTTGGTCAATGCAGATTATTATTTTAATATGTAGTTAGAATTGACCTACTAACATTTATTCAGGATTTTCAAATCAAGACTTTAAACCCCAGAAAAGATTGTTTCAAATGTACACTACCTAGTTTGTGGGAGCAAAATTCTGCTTACAATTTCTACAGATTCCCAGGGAGGTTTCCACTCCCATGGTATCCTCAAACTTCCAGTTCCTGCTTTTGTTTAATTGGGTCAACTGATGGATGGATGTGGCATGATGTTTCTTGCTCCTTCTGTTCTGGACAGTTAACCCAAAGATGGAACTCAACCCATTCCTTTTTTTTTTTTTTAAGATTTTATTTAGTTATTCATGAGAGACACAGAGAGAGAGGCAGAGGGAGAAGCAGGCTCCCTCTGGGGAGTCTGATGCAGGACTCTATCCCAGGACCTGGGGATCACTCCCCAAGCCAAATGCAGACACTCAACCACTGAGCCACCCAGGCGTCCCTAAAGAGCTTTTCTAATACGCATTACCTCCCTAACCCAATCTCCAGCACCATTCTGATTTGTCCCTGGAGATAGGAGCAGATATATACATTTTACAAAGGGTCCTTAAGTGATTTTAACACTTTCTACTCTAACACTTTCCACTATCCATTGGAAATGGGTTTTGGGGGAATGCTCTTAACATATTTGGTCCACACCATTCCTGGCACTTTAAATACAATAAGTCATCCATTTTCTAACACTATACACACAAACTCAAAATTAATTAAAGACCTAAATATGAAACCTGAAACCATAAAAATCCCAGAAAAGAACATATGCAGTAATTTCTTTGACTTTGGCCATAGCAACATTTTCCTAGATATGTCTCCTCTGCCAAGGGAAACAAAACAAAACAAAAAACTATGGGACTACATCAAAATAAAAGGCTTTTATACAGCAACAGAAACCATCAACAAACAAAAAGTCAATCTAACGAATGGGAGAAGATATTTGCAAATGATATATCCAATAAGGGATTAATATCCAAAATATATAAATAACTCATATAACTCAACACCAAAACAAACAAAAAAGAAACAATCCAATTTTAAAAATGGGCAGAGGACTTGAATAGACATATTTACAAAGAAGACCTACAGATGGCCAATAAACACATGAAAAGATGCTCAACATCATTAATTATCAGTGATATGCAAATCAAATCCACAATGAGATATCACTTTACACCTGTCAGAATGGCTAAAATTGAAAAGACAAGCAATAAAAAGTGTTGGTGAGGACATAGAGAAAAAGGCACTCTCGTGCACTGTTGGTGGAAACGTACATCAGTGTAGCCACTGTGGAAAACAGTATGGAGGTTCCTTAAAAAATTAAAAATAGAAATATTGGGGATCCCTGGGTGGCTCAGTGGTTTAGCGCCTGCCTTCGGCCCATGGCATGATCCTAGAGTCCCGGGATCGAGTCACACGTCAGGCTCCCTGCATGGAGCCTGCTTCTCCTTCTGCCTGTGTCTTTGCCTCTCTGTCTCTCATGAATAAATAAATAAAATCTTAAAAGAAAGAGAGAAAGAAAGAAAGAAAGAAAGAAAGAAAGAAAGAAAGAAAGAAAGAAAGAAAGAAAGAAAGAAAGAAGAAAGATCTATGATCTAGGGTTTCCACTATCCACTACTGGGGATTTATCCAAAGAAAACAAAAACATTAATTCAAAAAGATATTTGCAGCCCTATGTTTATTGAAACATTATTCAGAATAGCCAATGTACAGAAGCAACCAAAGCATCCATTGATAGACAAATAATAAGGAAGATGTGGTACATATACCATATACGTATATATACACCATGTATTATATATGGCATATATATGTGTGTGGTATACATATTTATAATATATGGTATATATATGTGTGTGTGTGAGCTATACATGATGGAATATTACATAGCCATAAAAAGGATGAGATCATGCCATTTTTGACAACATGGATGGACCAAGAGGGTATAATGCTAAGTGAAATAAGTCAGACTAAGATGACAAATACTATGTGATTCCATTCATATGTGGAATCTAAAAAACATAACAAATAAGTAAATAAACAAAAAGCAGAACCAGACCTATAAATACAGAAAATAAACTAATGGTTGCCAGAGGAAAGAGAGTTGAGAGGATAAGCAAAATAGTTGAAGAGGAGTGGGAAATGCAGGCTTCCAGTTATGGAATGAATAAGTCATGGAGATAAAAGGCACAGCATAGGGAACATAGTCAATGATAATCCAACAGCACTGAATGGTGCTAGATGGTTGTTGCTACACTTGGGGTGAGCATAGCATAACATACAGAGGTGTTGAATCACTATGTTGTATAGCTGAAACTAATGTAATACTGTGTGTCAACTGTACTCAAGTTAAAATTTTTTAAAATAATAAACACAATGAGTCCCTCAATTAATGTTGCAGTGAGCACATAAAAGACATGAACAGGCAATAACATCTGCCTCATATGGTTGGCCAGGACTCTGCTTTTGCCAGGAGAAGGTTTTTACATTGTAAGGATTGCAGAAGGTTTGCTACTTTAAAAAAAAAGAAACTACTGTTGACATTTTTGCGGAATATATTTTGAAAGCGTACAACCAA